TGGGCTATTAAAATATAAAACAAGGGCTCTAAAAATTTGATATATATATTTTTGCTAAAAATATTTAGATAGTTCACACATATTTTTTGAGGTGGGTCACAAAAAAAATTATATACAACTTGTTATATGTATAAAAAAAAGGTGGGTCAAATGACCCACCCTCAATACACATAAACTCGCCACTGATTGTAATTGTATCAGAGAAGGAAAGAAGGAAATTAAGGATACATTACCGTCAAATGAAGAAGGGTGTCGGCGGCGGTGACGAGAAACGTCAAATGCAGGTCGCCGGTCGCCGGACGCTGGTAGGAGTTGGAGACTTAGAGAAGTCGCAGTCGGAGTACAGGTCCTACGGGACGGAAGCTGAAGTCGGAAGTCCAGTCAAAGATCTCGAAGGTCGAAGCTAGAAAGTCGTCATTCGTTTTGTGAAGACTAAAGACGGATTGAGAAGTGACGGATGAAAGCTAAAGCCCTAATTTCCCATTTGTATTTTACATTAAATATATATATTTTTTATATAAATATAAACAGGGACCCCGCGGGAGCACGGGACGGAAATACTTAATCCCACCCCCGTCCCGAAAATAAACGGGAGTTAATCTCTTCCCTGCCCCCGCTCCCGCTCCCGAATTTTTTTAAAAATTAGTCCCGTACGGTATCGGGGTCCTACGGGAACGGGGTCCCGCGGGGGTTTTTGACATCCCTACATGATTGTTCATTTCTTCTGATTGTGGTACTTTCAGTGTTGACGTGCTAATGTGAGTCGGGCGAGTCGCAAATATGTTGGTTTGGATAAAGGAAGCAGCAAGGGTTGCTAGGGTTTTGACCTTCAAGTTGGGAATTGGTTATGAAGTTGCAGGTAATGAAGTTCTTTATGAATGTCTCGAGTGGATGCCCAGGTGGGGGTGCACTTGAGCCGATGAGGGGTTGGATGTAACATGGAAATTTTTTGGTTTGATCATCTTTGCTCAGCGAGCAGTGATTGGTAATGACATAGCAAAGTCAAGGATTGTTAAGGTTTTGGTACCTCATAAGGTTTGGTTTTGGGTGAATTTCGCAGTCAGTATATTTTGAGGATATTTTTTGCATGGTTATGGTAGTATCCCCAGTCAGGGACTGGGGGGTAGATTCAAATGGATGCTTATCAGTTTTAGGGAAGGATCTACGAGAAGATATTATGAGTGGCCGTTTCGAGTGGGCTTTTGGTGGAAATTCGCGTGGGGAATCACGAGTGGATCCATGCAAGGTCTGTATCCAAAGAGATATGGGTTAAGAAATTTGTGTGTCAAGGCATCAGCTAGAGGCTTCAAGATTTAGCTTATGTGTTTGTACCCTGGGATGGTTCAGGATTTAGCTTATGTGTTTGTACCCTAGGATGGTTCTATATTTTTGAAGTCCGGGCTAGTGATGAGGTTTCAGCATCTTAGCAGCAGCATGTCGGTCCGACATTTAAGGAAGTCAGTATTTTGTATCTCATTATGTTCCTAGAATTGTTATCATTAACAGTTGAGTGGATAGTTGATGGAAGTTTCATGGGTTTAGCATTGGTTCAGTCTGGGCGGTCTGTTAGGGAGTCAGACCAGTTCGAGACTTCAGGTTTCAGATAGAGTAGGTTGGGTCTCTGCATAGGATTGTGGATTCGTCCTCTTCAAGTGGGAAATTCTATTGGATTCAGTTGCCTTGGGAAGACAATTGTTTGTTCAAGGTTGTGGTCATGTCCATCAGGCCGTCGAGCATGTCGAGGATGATAAGGAATGATTTAGAGGACGAAATCGAATTTAAGTGGGGGATAGTTGTAACACCCAGTTTTGAATCGCTTCTTTATTCGGGGGTGCGACCCGATCATCAGTTATCATAAGGCTTGGGAGCTTGGGAAGAAAGGATTTGGCCCTTTCTGGATGAGGGTGTTAAAGTCTAAGTGATCTGAGTATTCGAGGGTGTTTCGGAGCCCAAGGGCATAATCGTAATTTGTTATCTCAGTCCTTTATGAATTTTGGGTTTGGTTCGGGGAATTTCAAGTCAATGATGGGTTGCTAGAAGTGTAGGGCTTCTCATCACCTTTCTGTGGATATAAAGTTCGTCGAAAACGGACTTAGATCGAGGAAGTTATGGCCTTCGGAGTATTTAGGGTTTTAAAGGGAACCCTAGTACGCGGGGTGTACCAAGGGAGTACGCGGGGTGTACTGCTGCGGAGGTCAGTACACTTGGTGTAAGGTGGTGTACGATGGGCATAGTGCGAAGGGTGGTGCGGGGGTGTGAAGCCTCATACGCTAGGCGTACGAGGAGTACGCTGAGCGTACGAGGGTAAGTTGGAAAAACCCTAATTTTTGTGTTGTGTCATATATAAGCTTTATGATAGCCCTTTTTGATCATTTCTAAGACAGTCTCCATGCTCTAAAAACCCTAATTCGACCCCTAGCCCATGTTTGGTGATCTTGAAGCTCTTGTGAGATTTGTGGAGGACTTTATGGATCTAGAAGAAGAAGGAGGAACTTGAAGACTTGTTCTTTGAAGGAAAGCTTTGAGATCCAATATTTTCATCTCTTTTTGGTAGCTTGGGAGGTATAAAGTTCAAACCTTGCCTTTTCATTTCATGGATCTCCTTCTTGTTGCATTTTGGTCATTTTGACCCTTTTTGGTTGATGATTGGGAGTTAAAGTCGTTTTTGAGGCTTGAAATTGTAGAACTGGATGTATCATGGGTTCTTTGGGCATAAAGGTGCAAACTTTATGGTGGTTTTGGTTCCATGCATGTATTAAGTCATGTATTAAGCACTTTCGAGCTCTAGAGTCCCATTTAGCCATGCATGCACATAAAGTTGGCAACTTTATGTGAAAAACCACATTAGGGAAGTCAGATCTGAGTTTGGATCCAATTTTTAATTGATTAAGTGCTTAATTGGAAAGTTGGCTTTGGGTTGGTGAGTACGTTAGGCGTACAAGTATGTACGTTGCGCGTACAAGCCTCCCATGTTGTACGCTGAGCTTACAGGCTGAGTACGCCTCGCGTACTCAGCTGACTTGGGCCTCTTTGCATTTTGGGCTTCGGTTTGGGCTTAGCTGTGTTGGGCCATGTTGGGCCATTTGGATTTTTATTGTTGTGTTGTTATGATTTGTTGGGCCTTCTTGGGCAAATGCCCATGAAAGGAATTAGATTGGGTAATATTTGGGCCATAGATGTTTATTTTGGATTTTGGGCCTTTGGTCATCTAGTTTGGGCCAAACTTGAGGAAGGGTAAAAAGGTCTTTTACCCTAATTTGGACTCATAGTGTGAGTCAGGGGCTAGATGTTGATGGGTTGTCATTTTGGTAATTGATAGCACGTGGATCTTAGCGAATATGCAGTCAGAGATTATTCGGGGGATCAGCCGCGATAGGGTGTTATCTTGATATTGGCGGTTCGAAGATCTATCAGCCAGCAGCCAGGGATCGGCTATATGATTTGGCAGTGCGAGGTGAGTTTTCTTCACTGTATTTTTGGGTCGAAGGCACCAAGGCCGGCCCATTGGTTGGATAACCTGATATTGTTGATATGTTGAGTAAGGAGTAGATATGCATGCTAGTATTGATATGCTAGTATGGTAGATCAGTAGGACTACATGTGATCCTGTTTGAATGATTACATGTATATGGCTGTTAGCTGTCGACATATTGTGTTGGGTTGAGGTTGTACTGCTTCGTGCTGTAGCCAACAAACCCTGGAGCATTCCAGATATGAGCTGAGGACCGGGTAGGGTATTCCAGACTCATACTGAAGGCTCAGGTGTATTCCAGATACGAGTTGAGGACCTGGATGATATGCCAGACTCTTACTGAGGGCTTGAAGGTATTGGAGCAACCCATATATGAGCTGAGGGCCGGGTAGGGCATGCCAGACTCATACTGAGGGCTCATTAGCATTCCAGATAGGAGCTGAGGACCTGGTTGGTATACCAGACTCATACTGAGGGCTGGACATTGGTATTCCAGTCCGATGACTGATTAGGTTGGCAGCAAGCCAGACATAAGCTGTGGGCCCCCAGGGCAAGCCATACTTATGTTGTGGGCTCAAGAGCAAGCCAAACATGAGCTGTGGGCCCGTTAGGCAAGCCAGAATCATACTGTGGGCTCAGGGGTAATCCAGTTTTTTAGCTGTGGACCCAGTACATGTTGTTATTGTTTATGTGCTATTTGTTTGGGTGTTGGTACTTTGTGGGGAACTCACTAAGCTTTGTACTTACAATTTTGTTTATGGTTTCAAGTTGTTCAGATGATTTGTGGCAAGGCGAAGGCATAACCGCACACACTATTGGTTTTACAGCGGTTTGGATCCTGGGAGACTCTGATTTTAAATCATGTTTTGTAAACACTTTTGTTAATAATTGGGTTGTTTTAAAAAGTTTAAAATTTGTTGAAAATTTGGGATATTACAACGGGTTGGCGGGTTTGGAACATAAACTCATATATGACCCGCCAACCCATTTATTTATACGGGTTCACACGTTGGTGGGTTCGTGGGTCATATTTGGGTTCGTGGGTTCGATTCCATACATAAAATTGATAATTAAACATAAATAAATTATTGATGCAAACATATCCAAATTTTAGACACTTAAGTCTTAAACATCCAAATGAAAATTAAAAACATTCACAGAGACATGTTCAGGTCAAATAAGATTATTTAGGTCAAACACTAAACGACAAACGTGTTGCATATGTCAAGTGGAGGATGACATCCTATCCTAGACGGGATGGAGAATGGAAAACGTATAAACTGTATAATACTTAAGTCTTAATACATTTAAAAAATATATAATTTTTTTTAATTAAAATTCTAAACGGGTTGGCGGGTCAATCCGTATATTTTTTGAGAAACCCGTATATGACCTGTTCAATAAATGGGTTGGCGGGTTGAAAAACTCAACCCAAACCCGTTTATTTCAATTGGGCCGGGTGAAATATTTCGATGGAGACGGGAGCAGTTATGGGCTACTTGAACTGTGTTATGGCCCAAAAGTCGCACCGATCTCTGAACTCTGATCACGAGAGCAGCCCTGAGACGAGAGTGGGAGCACAAACACCGTCTTCCTCCCCAGCAGCCTCATCGATTCTTCAATCGGAAACGTTCTAATTCACTAACTCGGAAACATTTGCATCAGGAGGAACAACCTCGTGAAATAATGGTCAAAACAAAGATAAAGAAATCTAAACCAAATAAGCACCCCAATGTAAGTTTCTCAGTTGCCTATGCTTATACTTGGATAAAGTTTCCGTGAAATTCTCTGCTTTTGCACGATCTGATTTACTCTAGGGCTTTTGATTTTGTTCAAATACTACTTTGTTTGGTACGATTGCAGCAATTTTGTTTGACAATTTGTATTATCTGAAGTTCCAAATTGAATTTTGACTTTTGTACTCGAAATCAACCGTTATACCTTCTGTTTTGTTGTTAAATCCACTTGCTAACCTCTTCGTGGACTTGATAAGCATCTAGATGAGTAATAACTGGTAACATAGTGATAGTTTTCGATTGTCAGGTGTTTGATAACTTTCATGTAGGATCAAAACATAAATGTAGTTTAGGAACTGATGTGTACAACTGATAACATTGGATGCTCTTGTTCTTAGTGAAACTTTTTCTTATGAACCACTGATTAAATCATCTTTTGCACTGTTGGATTGACACTTGACAGACTAAAAAGAACAGCAAGCAATCTGACATTTCAGAATTCCGAGCTCAGCTTGATGCATTAGGTTTAAAAACTATAGAAGTAACTGCAGATGGGAATTGCTTCTTCAGGTTTGTGCTCAAGTACAAAAAACTCATTCAATCAATACAGATGATTTGCTGATTAGAAACATATATATTCAACTTCTATCAATTGAAACATCATAATTCTCATTAAGTTCTTATCACAGAGCTTTGGCAGATCAGTTGGAGGGAGATGAAGGCAAGCATGAGAACTATCGGAAAATGGTTGTTCACTATATCATGGTATCATTAAAATATTATTTCTATGTCTTCAACTTTAGGCAAAAATACATAAAAGCCACTATTTTAGCCATATTTGTGGTTTTAACCAGTATATGTCAGTTTCATCAATGAAAGCCACCCAAGTCTGACAAATTTAGGCAAAAATACATAATGTGCCCTAAAATTTATCATTTTGATATGTCCATTTTCTAAATGTTCTTGATAAATACATTAAATATTCAAGAAAACCAACTATTGAGCAATTTTTTTACAGAAAAACCGTGAAAACTTTGAGCCTTTTATTGAAGATGAAGTGCCATTTGATGAATACTGTCAATCCATGGAAAAAGATGGCACATGGGCTGGAAATATGGAGTTACAAGCTGCTTCTCTTGTTACTCACAGTAATATATGCATACACAGAGTATGTCCTTTTATAGCAACCTACATATTCTCAAAATTAATAATGTTTTATAGATATTTACCTCTCATGATCTTATTTAACAGATATCTTCACCTCGTTGGTATATAAAGAATTTTGATGACCATAATGCCCAAATGATCCATTTGTAAGTTCCAATTTAGTATTTCTAGATAATTTAGTGTATCTAATTTTCTTGAAGCATTATCTTAAGATGTTTTACATTGATTTTTCATTTTTCAGGTCTTATCATGATTTGGAGCATTACAATAGTGTGAGATTAAAAGAAGACACATGCAATGGGCCAACAAGGCCAATCATAATTAAGGTTTTTTTTTTTTTTTTTTTTTTTTTTTTTTTTTTGTTGTTGTTGTTTTCATAATAACTATTTACAATTATATTGATTTTTATATAAAAAAGTAATAACTTTTACTTATTTTAAAAGGCCGATGCTGATCTTTCAGTGAAGTCTCACTCCCATCAACCCAATGCTGCTCCTAAAACTATCATCCAGGCTGAGTCCATTAAAACTGTCAAAGTTGGAAGTGGATGTGATAATGAGGACAAAATTCAACAGGTATAAATTATAAATTAGTTCTAACTAGGGTGATACTAACCCCTGCTTTGTGGAGGACCAAACTTGCATAAAAACAAAAGTCTAGGGACCAAACCTGCCAATATACAAAAGTCTTGTGGCCAAAGTCTGAAACCCAAAAAGTCTAGGGATCAAACCTGCCAATATACAAAAATGTAGGGACCAAACTTGCCAATATACAGAAGTCTTGTGGCCAAAGTCTGAAACCCAAAAAGTCTAGGGATCAAACCTGCCAATATACGAAAATGTAGGGACCAAACTTGCCAATATACGGAAGTCTTGTGGCCAAAGTCTGAAACCCAAAAAGTCTAAGGACCAAACCTGCCAATATAGAAAAGTGTTGTGGCCACAATATGAAATACAAAACTTATTGTGGCCAAAGTATGAAGCTTGAAAGTATCTATTCATGTCTAGTTTGTAATTAGATATAGTAAATAATTTTATCTTAAGATGTTTTTGAGTAAACTACAAATTTAGTCCTTGTTCTTTACTCAAAATTGCAAGTTTAGCCCAATTTTTGAATTTCATTACGGATTTAGTCCCTCCAACATTGAAATGGAAGTCTTAAAGTGAAGCAAACTTGTGATTTATTGAAATGGAAGTCTTAAAGTGAAGCAAACTTGTGATTTATTGAAATGGAAGTCTTAAAGTGAAGCAAACTTGTGATTTTGAGTTAGCTCATTGACTAAACCCCCCATAAAATGCAAACTTAAGGAGAACATGGGGTAAATTTTGAAAATTGGAGCAAACATGTGATTTTGAGTAAAGCACAAATTTTGAAAATTTGTAATTTAGGCTACAGTTTTACTTTGGAAAATTATTATTTAATTCTATCATTTAGGTATTGCTACAAGTAAATGGAGATGTGGATGCTGCAATAGAGATTATGATAGCAGATGAAGAGACTGAAGAAAACATGGTTGAAAATGATAGAGTTGACTTTTCAATGGACACTTCTCATGGTAATGACTGGTTAGTACATTTGTCAGAGAAACCATTTTGTTAAATTGTTTATTGTATTATTTATATATCTTACACTAACTTTTTTTTTTTTTTTTTTTTTTCTAGAATGTTCTAGTAGCAACCACCTTGAAAAGATTGAAGACAAAAATATGAAGGAGAAAGAGACTTGGAGCAATTTAGAAAGTGAAAACAATAAGACCAACTCCTTGCATGATGAAAAGGTTTTTTTTTTTTTTTTTTTTTTTTTTTTTCACTTTTGCTTCCAAAAAGTTTTCTCTTGCAGTTTTGGTACTTATTTCTGTCTTTTGTAACTTTTTTGGTCCCTGTTCCAAGTAAAATACTATACTTTTAGGACCAAATTTGCAAAAATCCGATATACTCAGTGACCAAAAAGTCATTTAACTTGGAATAGGGAACAAAAATGTTATAAGAACCTCCAACAAGGACCATAATTGCAAAGAATGAGCTATACATAGGGACCAAAAATGTAATTTACTCTATTTATTAATTCACTGCAGAAAATACCTAGAAACAAGGCGTGCCCTTGTGGATCAAAAAAGAAATACAAGTCTTGTTGTGGTACAATGGCTGCAAGAAAATTGTCTACTGTTGCAGTGTACGTATTTTGATAATTTTGTTTATTCAGAAGGTTAAAATGGGAATTTTGTTCACTTAATGAATTAAGTTTTTGATGTATATCATGATTCAGAAACAATACAATTGAGAGAAAAGATAAGAAGCAGGGGAAGAAAGGTAGATCAGTTTCACATGGTTCTGATGGAGCTTCTCATGACATGGGTGCACTTTGTATATGACCAATTTCCTTGAGGGTATAATCGTCATTTTAGCGTATGGGATTGTTTGGATTTTTGTTTTGTACATATAGGCTCCCCGATAATGGGATAATCAGTACAATGAAAAGACCTTAGATGGATCAAATTCTATATCATCCAAATATTAAGACAATTGGTTATTAATAGTATATAACTAGAGAATGCACCTTGGAAACGATTATGGCAACATACTTTTGTTAATGTGTTTACTATAACATCATACTTTTTTTTTTCTTGTTACCTATAATAATTTGTTTAATGTTCATTTAAGGTGTTTGTGTATTATAGCATCACATGCATATAAATTAATATGTAAAAGAGATAGCATATCAAAAAACAATGTAGATGTTAAAAAAATCTGTAAAAACTAATTTTGTAAAAATGACTCAAAAAAAAGTTGTAAATTAGATATAAAATAGACAAACCTGTAAAAATGTTCATGTGGTATATTGAAAATTACCACTTTGATACAAAAAGGTTTAAACATGCCAGTTTTAACAAAGCATAGGGACCATTCTTACAATTTTGTCTTTAAAAATAATCAAAATAAATTGGACTAAATTCGCAACAAAACCAAAATATTGGACCGGTGGTGCTAGTCCAAACTTTTTTGGACCAAAGTGACAATTTTCAACACACCATAGGGACATTTTTTACAGTTTTGTCTATAAAATAACTAGTAAAACCATTTTTTTTAAAAATAACTAACCGTAAAACTTAGCTCAATAAAATATATTTTGGGCCAAATTAGAAAAAATATATAAAAATTGGTAAAAGTTATAAAATATTAAGTGGGTTTTTGACAAAACAGGTTATTAGCTTATTAACAGTCACACCGCTATAGCTAAAAAAATATTTCGATAAACCCAGTTTATTAGTAGTGATAAAGCGCTAATAAATCGTTTTTTCATAAGTTAACTTCCTCTAACTTATTAACTTATAAGCCAATAAACTAATAAGCAATAAGTTTTTTTTTGCCAAACACTCCTAAACCTTTGGGCCAAAAATGTAAAAGGGGAGAAAATTGGAGCAAATATCAATGTAACTACTTTAACTTACTATCATTAAGTCAAAATGGTTGGCATCAAAAAAAGTTAACAACCTTACCCTTCATCCATGTTGACATGTGTGTCCTTATCAAATAAGTTCGCAGGGATATATGGAGTTCGAACCTCCTCCATATTGGACTCGGTATGCAAAACCCCAGATGGTATGGCCATGGTCTTCTTAGGGATGGATGTTGGTTGATGATCACTTGAATTGATGTTTGTATCCGTATTAGAAACATTTACATTGACATCAGAATTTCCTATCGCCTCGAAATTCGACTTGAGAGGAGAATCCCTTCGAGGTAAACCAATAACAGAATATTCTACGCGAATATCGTACCTTTCACTATCACTATCGTGAGCAGTTTCGACCGTCATATTGTCAAGTGAAAGTGGATTCTTTCGTTTCTTCTTTTGTAACTTCTGAGCCATATCAAGAGCTTGATGCTTCTTTGAAGCAGGTGAAACAGGAACATATAGTTCACGAAACAAAACACCCTTCCTATGAAATTGGGGCTTTCGAATCTTATTTATACCCTTCTGAGAGGAAATAGGATTTGAAGAATCGACATTTTGTGGCTCATAACTTTCGAATACAAGATCTTGAATATGTTGTTGGATTGGTGAATCAGTAGGCTTCTTGTTTGGTTTCTTCGTTCTCTTGAGAACTCCTGATTTTGATGGGATATTTTCTTTCGTAACTTCCTCCTCCACAGTTGGTTTTTCGACCTGCTTCTTATTCTCTAGAGCTTTGGAAGCTTTAAAAGGTCCTTCTGCCCCTTTTGTGGAAGAACCCCAGTTGGAGTAGAAGAGTCAATCGAAGCCAAGTATTGCACAAGAAGCTGATTTTTGGGATCCGCAAGCTTGAGCCTCAGATCTGGAATACAAGCGACAGTAGGAAAATAGCTGGATCATCAACCAAAATCCTTGGTGCATCCATAACCGAAAATTCAGTAGTTTCAACATCAGAGGGAACCAAAATATCCTCTTGACGACAAACATCCTGTAAAATCAAGCTCTAAAATCGAGCACTGGAAACACCATTAGCAAGATTTGTGTGTGAGAAGAAGTGCCGAATTCCTCCCAAAGATGAGTAGCATAATCCACATTCAAACCGTAATACAGTCTTGCTATGATTGAATATACCTCAAGCTTGGCTTTGTCGAGCCCAAAGTTTCATCCTTCCAAACAACGTAACAGATCCCATATAGAAAACTCCACATACACGGAAGACCAAACTTCTTAAAGTGACTTATTCCAGTAAGAGTTGGATGATGCCCCATTTCATTAAACATATGAAGCACCTGATCAGTCGAAACTTCATAGAATGTACCTAACACTAGCAACTTCAGAATTTGTGCAAATTGCTTCCGAGCAAACTTCTTAGTCTTTGAATTCAACAACTGAAATGTGACCACCTTAGTAGTTTTGTTGAAGATTGCAGTTGAACCAGCAAGAGAAATCCATTCCATTGGAACTGCAAACGAAGATGAAAGTGCAGTTGATAACACAAAATTGTGTAGGGTTTGAACAAGCATATGTATTGTCTCCGGATATTGATCAATCGATGGAACCAGACACAGATTAGTAGTTTGGATCTTCATCATCGATTGCGAAACTTCCTCTTCATTTGTTATTGTTGGATCAGCAGTGGGATGAGGAGCAACCATTGCAGAGAATGCAGAAGAATTTGCAAACGATGAACAATTATGGTTTTTGGAATTTTGATCTGAGGGCATAAAGTTTGAGAATAGAATCATCAACTCCTTTTATAGTAGAAGGTATTTTTGAATTTGAACCGGTATCTAACAATACATTGCCACGTATTGTGTTGGTTACTTAACCGACACTGTAAAAAGCTCCACGTCATACAAATGATCATCACGTTTTCCTTGATTCCCGTGAAAATCCTGAACCATCATGTCCACCGGATCTTTCGCTGTTCCCAAAAGGATAAGAACAGTCACAATTTTCAAACCGCAACCAAGTACACCATGTAATTTCGACAATAAGATACGATCATTCCTTCGACATGGAAGCTAGCCTCATTCGCTTTTGGGATTTGGAAGCGAAATCATATGCTAGTCTTTGCGAAATCTAAGTTTCGAGTTGGTAAGACCCAAAACCTCAAGGATTTCAGTGCATTTGTGTGCCAAAGAATGAGATAGAAGCAAGTAAAACAATATATGGATATTGTGATATCAAATTTGTATTTGATACAAACGCAGATTGATCACATGTAAAGATCTCTTCATTCGACATCAAGAGAGATGAAGAATTGCTTGTGTGGTTTCTTGTGAATGACAATCTAATACTCGATGATGAGCATCGAAGGGCTTTTTTTTCATTGGTTTCGAAGGCGGCTGTAATTTTGCACAACATCACAACTTAACATAAGTGTGATCCAATTGAGCAAAATTACTTGGATGACCAGTGTAGTTAAGAGCAAGTATGGTTGGATATGATTTTAAGTGACAAAAGTTCAAAAAGATATTCAGACAGAAATCTCATTCCAAAAAAAATAAAAAAAATAAAGTACTGGATCTATTTGGGCAAAAAGGTTTCGGCGTTAGAACATTTTATCAAGATCACGCAAGGCGAAAGGAATGAAATTTTAAAAATCGAAAAGGTACAGAAACAAGTGTTTCGTTAAAATCTTGAACAAAAGTGTTCACCGTCAATTCATTTATGGTTAAGTTCGTTGGGTTTCACCTTCATCATGGAAGAATGATTCAGGATCATAAACATATAGTTTTGTCATATCTACATTCTGGTTGGTTTCGACCAGAGATGTCGAGGATATGCAGTGTAGTGTGTGATCATGAAAGAAATTTTTTGGTGAAAAAGATTAGTTATAAGAACTCATTGTACCTCTGCGAAAAATATGGACCATGTAGAAATCTCTTTACTCAATATTGAGAAGAGAAAGGTAGCTCTTCGAGCAATGTGAATACATCCTGATTGGGAAGAAACTTTTGTAGTGAATGTTTCATTAAGGCTTCGAACACATAGAGTATGTGAGGCTTGAGAACAAGATGCAATAGCATGCTTCTAGGGATACTTAACTAGTACATAAGTTCAAATGAATACCTGCTCCCTTGATGAATATGTTCATTTGGCATGCAACAAAACATCATGTTGTTACAATGAGACTTGACACGTTACCCAATAATATCAAAGAAAAACAAAAACAAGGTTAAGAAAATCTTTTTGTATTTTTGTTTTTAGAAATCAAGTACAAAAAAATCTTTTTGTATTTTTGATTTTTGAAAAATAACAAACAAAAATAAATGAACTATAAAATGCTATTGAGATACGTTCGACCCATAGTCTAGCAATCATCAATCATGGGTTGCACATCGAACGACTTCCATCAAAAGAAAATTGTGTTCAAAATGGTTCAAAGAGAAATCGAATGCGAACACAGTCGAACGCTGAACGTGAATAGTAACCTATGAATAGAACACCAACAGTCGAAATTGAGTTAAAACGCACAAAGAAAATACCTACAAATCGAAAGCAATAAAAACAATTGAAAGTAAGGTAAAAACAAGAATTTATGTCAAATTCACGAAGAACATGGAACAGAGCTTGCTTCCATTATTCCCAGTCCACTCAAAATCCTTAAGAATATTTTTTCATCTAAAGGTTTTGTGAAAATATTTGCAAGTTGATCCGTTGTTTTGACAAAGTGGACTTCAATGTTTCCATCTTCAATGTGGTATTTTATGAAATGACATTGAAGAGCAATATGTTCGGTTTTCGAGTGTTGGACCGGATTGTGACAGATGCGAATGACACTTTGTGAATCACAATACAAAGGTATTTTCTTCATATTTATAGCATAGTCTCAAAATTGGCTTTGAATCCAAATCACTTGTGATCTGCACACAACAACATCCACATCCTCTACTTCAGCAATCGAAATTGAAACACAAGTTTGCTTTTTCGATTGCCAGCTCACAAGCTTCCCATCCAATAATTGACATCCTCCAGTTGTGCTTTTTCGATCCAGTTGATATCCACCCATGTCCGCATCATAGAATGCTTGAATAAGGATCCTTTCTTCGAAGGATACCATAATCCCAATGAAACTATTCCTTTGAGGTATCAAAAGATATTCTTAACTGCATTGAG